AGAAAACCTAAATAATACTAGGAAAACCAGAAAAATGATCTGGGCACGGTCAGAAACTTCCCTCAGAAAATTTTTATTTTTTTATTTGAAGGCAGAGGAAGTACTGGCAATACCTCGAAAACTATTTTTATTGGCAATGGTCCAGTGGGCGTGGCCAAAAAACAAAATGTGCAGTATATGTACGTTGCGAATGTATTGGAGTGGAAGTACTATAGCTAGGTACGTATTCCCATTAAAAATGCTGTTATCGTTCTGGTAAAAGCTTCAGTTTCGACTTCTATCCTAAATTTTATATTTCTAAATGTCTCGCTTCAGATGTAAATGTTTGTACTTATCGAGCTCTAAAAAATTAGGTACTGCCTGCATGGCGCAACACAGAAGAATACAGAAATCAACACAATCCGATCAAATCGAATACCGGCGAAATTTTCTGAAAATTAAATTTCGCCGCTAGTTATAAAAAACTAAGGCTTATAAAATTAAGGCTTATAAACTAAAAAACTAAGGCTTATAAACTTATAAAATTTAAAAATAAGGCATAGTTCTACTTTTGGCACTGCACTGTCCACAAAGCCGCAACGCAAATCCATGACGATATTTTATTAAGAACCGTTCAACGTTCTATTATTTGTAGTAGCAACCAATATAAACTACATATAATTCTCGGTATAACAAACAACATATCAATGGACATCAATACAAATTCCATATACAAACTCTAAGCGGCCTGGTTGTTACTGCTGTGGGATGCGACGCAAATGTGTTCAATTCTTACCGTGCGTGTTGGAAGCCCAGAGTGGTCTCAGGTCTTTCCGACTGTACAGCACCAGATTTCCGTCATCCTGCATAACCAATTCCAAGGCCTTATTCTGCGAATAGATCCTCTGTCCGCGATGGATCTTCTGGCTGTGTTTCCCATGTAAGCAATCTGACAACCAAAGAATCACCGGCTTTACACTCGGAACCTGACTGCGATTGCGGTACGCGTGCCGTACATGAACACTTCATAACAATATGTGCCAGTACTGGTGAATCAGTAAAGCATTAACAATGAGGTTAAGGAGTAAGTATGCAAACGTAATGCCGGCATCCAAGAGATAATTCAGGAGGCAGAACAACAAAAATATAGGTAAGCTGAATACAGTGAAACCAAATTTTTTTTGTTGTTTCCGACTACGCACCGCGACTTTTCAAATCTATCTATCCGGCTCAGGTTTGTGCACCTGCATATTTTCTTGATAACTAGTTAATAAATCCTGGTAATTAGTCAAGTGTGCAGTGATAGCAGGTAACGCAGTGGCCGGGCGTTGGAACATAAATTTTCACTAGTATGACCAGGGTGACCACATCACAATGACAATACATACGATTTGCATTACAAATTTAAATTTGCTTTTAGCAAACCCACTAGATAATTGCCGATAAAAATAGTTTTCAAGTATTCCCAGAACTTTTTCTGTTTTCGATTCAAACAAACAAAGAAAATTTTCTGATGGGGCGCCTCTGACCGTGCCCTGGTGAGATGGTGTAGTTAACACTGGTTCGACCTCGTGACGGGTCGACATTGTGTCGACGAAGTAACGGTCGACGAATTTTAGTCGACGAAATGGCGGGTCAAAGTATTTGAGTACCCCACTGCGTCTAATAAATAATACATATTAAATGTTTCACAAGTGCGCGCTGCAAACAGAAGTAGCGGGAACCGATGGCTCGTGGCGTGGTGAATTAACTTAACATTATGGCTGCGTGAACGAGTATTATGTAAAACACGAGTGTTAGCTGGGTGCACAGGTGATTTCTGTGGGTTTACACGGGTTTTGACGGAGTTTAGGAACGGTGTTGGCTGCTTTCATCCGCAAGAAAAAAATACACTGGAAAAATAAAAACAAAACGATATAATAGCATGCCGGCTGTTCGTTATTTACCTGGTTCCATTGTGGTTCTATGGTAGTTCTATGGAGGTTCTATGGTGGTTCTATGTTGTTCTATGGGAGCCGGAAAAGAAGGGGCAGTGTGGGAGCATGCCGGCTGTTCGTTATGTAACTGGCTCCATAGTGGTTCTATGGTGGTTCTATGGAGGTTCTATGGTGGTTCTATGTGGTTCTATTGGAGCCGGGAAAGAAGGGGCAGTGTGGGAGCATTCCAGCTGTTCGTTATGTAACTGGTTCCATAGTGGTTCTATGGTGGTTCTATGGAGGTTCTATGGGTTCCATTATGGTTCTATGTGTTCACGTGCTTGTGTCCTAGTCTGTTGGTACAATCCCCATAGAACCACTTAATGTCCTAACTTGGGCATTCTGTGAGCACTATCGCTACAAAATTGGATCGATTGTCTGGAACTCGGTATGCAACGGTACAATAGATCTGTCTGAACACCGACACTGTTTAATGCTACTAACAAGACCGTTCCAACACATGCGAAGGGTCGAATTCTGTGCCACCTTAACCGTAGCAGCGCGGATAGAGGAAAAACAGGTTTGATTACGAAGATAAACCTAAAGCACGATCACCACTGAGCCTCGAAGGTTGGCAGGATCTTTTCCGAGAACAGGAGGCTTACAGTTGAAGATGCGAATACAGTAAGAGATAGGATCCATTCACGGGTACCTGCTGCTGGTATTGCGGATCAGATGCTTTCGCATCTGATCCGCAATAGAAGCACAAATGACCAGGTAGAACAATGAGATTTATTGCCCTGCATCACCATTCCCCACTTGCGCTTGACTCACAAGTCAGTGTCAGAGAGCCATTCCTGCTCAGCTGAATAGTACGTGACCTGATGAGACCAGCCGACCAGGACACAACAGGATACACAGGAGTCGCACCAAGAATAAGTTTGCTCTCCGGCCTATCTGGCCCTACACAAAAAAATCAATTTTCTCTAAGTTACAAAAATGGATCATATAACTTAGCGTTTTCTCCGATCTTAAGTTTGACAATTGCATCTTATGGAGTAAATTCGATACACATTCTGAACCAAAACAAAGGTGGTCGGAAGAAAATTCACCGAGTTATACGAGTTTAAAATATTTGAAAATTCACTGCATCTTCATTTTTTAGGATAACATCATCATATTGGTTCAGAATGCCCTTCTTATGTGGTTTTATCATACTGGAAAGTTTCATGAAGTTCGGGTAGATAGCTGAGTTATTTGACGTGTCTGAGTTTTTAAACTTTTTCGGGTGATAGCGCAGCAGCCGGTTACTGCCGCACATTTTGAGTTTAAATCGGTGTAGTTCAATGGAAAGCAAGACGAATTTGCCTTCTTTATGACTTGGCGCTGCCATCGAAACGCTCGATACCACCTCTGTCGACCCCACTGATTAAAAAAGTGTTGAGATCAACCGAAAGCGAGAACGCCGGAATTTGTTTCGGCGCGCCGGCGCGTGGCAGTAAGGATGTTTATAATTATGAACGTTTTGAAATCGCATTCGCGGCGGAACTCATTAGTAAAAAAAAATCCTGTAGATTTTAAGCAGTGTAGTCAGAAAAATGAAATCAAACCGGATCTTAGCGATGCATGAGGAGTCAATAAGCTTTGCTTGCGTGGCAAAATTATAAGAATAGGTATGTCGAAAGATAGCGACGATAGCTAACTCACTGGTAAGGAGTGACAACAGTCAAAGGAGATGATTATTCTGTCAAAGTAAAGGGGATGACAGCAACCATTTGTCAATGTACGTTATAAAAGTTAATCGGTGGTTGATAATTTATTTCGGGGCACCGATACTGTACCGGCTAAGCCGGCGTCATGAGGCATCCTTACGGCCAGTATCCCTGCCTCCGTGCCGGTTAGATATGCCCCACCATTATTGAACTTCCGTGTAACCTAAACTTGCAAGCCTGCGCGTGCACAACTGGTTGATATAGTTACAGTCTACACAATAATTGAGAAATGGTACTTTCGAGTAAAAATGAGGCCGCTATCGGGAGAAATGTCGTATCAGACACTGTCAAACACGAAACAGCCCATCCCAACACGTGTTTGGCATCAAAGCGTTCCGGAATTTTCATCTCTACTTTTTAAGATATCGGCTGGATATAATTCGGTTCCAAACCGTCTACAGCAACGGTGAAAATTTACCGCATAGCAGCTTTGGACAACGGAGGCTGATTACCCGACGATGCGGCCAGCATATTTCCTCATATTACTCGCCACATGCGGTGGGTGGTGCATCCGCTATTTAAAGCAGCATAATTGATCCGTTGTTCAGAACTTCAGACAAGTCGAAGTACACGCAAAGGCATATCGTTTAAGCTGTTGTCATACGATGTGCCAGTTTCTTGTCCATTTTTTGTAAAACTAGGGAAGTGCACCGCTGTAGCTAGCACTAAAAGACCGAAGCGAAGCTAGAAAATAGTTTACAGCACTTGCTTAATTTTGTTGTACAGTTTGTAGCTTGATGACAGTTACCGTGAATTTTCACCCGTTTAAAATCGTCGTATTTAGTTAGCCTTTACCCAATCATTACAATATTGAGGAGTATCTGCGAATTCACAGACAAAGCAGTCTTTCCACTAAATTCTCAAGGCATTCGTTGTAACCGTTCTAATTCACGTTTTCTTTGATGAGTGGCGTTCTTCTGTTTGATCGACTGTAACAACAGAAATGGAAAGACCGGTTCATAGGCCAAACCATTCCAAGACTTAACGCGTAGAAAGCCGGCGTATCTAAGTCCAGGCGCAAATTAATGTTTTTAATGTCTTTGACGGAAATCGCTGGCAGTTCAACTAAAAAGACAACCGCGCCCGCCCTTGAAGGCACTTACAGTATAGCTACGCGACGACTTTCTAAACAACTGCAGAGGGCAGCTACTTGAAAACAGACTCTCATTTCCACACTTGACACTCGTAGAATCTTCTCGACCAGTTTCGTCCAGTTTTGTTTTCTTAAACTAAATTTTGATAAGAAATGTACAAAGTTACTGCAAACTCAGGGCGACGGAATATTGTCCGTTATGGAACATGAACATCCATCCAGCTGCAGCGTAACTGGGAAAAAGGCGTGTTGGAGCCAGTGGTGGAGTGGTCGGTTTAGCAGTGGTGGATTCTTAGCTTTTCCCATAGACTTTTTATGTTGACGATTTTTAAAAGTTTTCTTTTAAACGTATCTTTTTCTTTGCAAACTGGTTTGTGATGACAAATCTTCATTCTTAGAGCTATCGAACAATATGCAGACAGGAAAGCCTATCGTTCACAAAAGGGAATTTTCGTAAGGCTTATTCTATTAATATATAGAGAAGAGATGCACTTGATCCGCTGAACAGAGCTATCGACAACAACAAGTAATCGATCCCATTAACTGCATGCGGGTTTCACGTGCTGTTACTGGGAATAACCAGCAGCGTCTTCGTGTCCACGATCCACTCATGCACGCCCTCGTGCGGCCGGAACCAGCACTGGACCGATCCGCCATCGGTCATTTTCACGCTGCGGAAGAGCAATCGCACGTGCATCAGCCGTCCGGGGTCGCTGATAGACCGGATGTAGTACGCCTCGACGGCACGCGGTCCCGCCCCGGCAGGCAGCGGCAAACCGTAAGGCGCTTCCCAGGGACCGCGGAGGATGCGGCCCTGATGCAGCCACATCAGGTGGTTGGGCAGATTCTGCAGAACGCTCTGCGGGAGGGGCAGCCGGATGCTCCACTGCACCGTGACGGCCTCTCCCTCGGTGGCGGTGACGTTGGTCTCCGCGGGGGCCGCGAAGACCTCGCTGCGGCGCGTGATCAGCGGCAGCAGCACGTACCGTGCCAGAGCACGGCGGTGGGCGAGGAAGGCGAGGTCATTGACGGGATCGATGACGCACTGCACGGAGCCCCCGGAACCCATGGTGACGTTGCGGACGATGAGGATCAAGGTGTCGTTAAGGCGAGTGAAGTTGTAGGTCTGTCCCGTGGAGACCCTCGCTGGCAACGGCTGCGGCTCTCCTCCTTCGAAGACGGGCCACCCCTCGTGCAGCCAGGCCACCTCGCGCCAGTCGACGTCAGCGGGAACGATGCAATTGAACGTCGCGTCCTCCCCCAAGCGCGGTCGGTAGATGACGCTGTCCGTCACGTAGTCGCTCGGCACCAGCTTAGTCAGTACGATGCGGTCGTCCTGTCGGCTGTGCAGCATGGCCTCCGCCAGCATTTCCTCCACTAACAACAGGTGAGTCAGTTAAAATTTTAATCATTCTGGTTATTGCATTCGGAACACGTTGGGTGGCCGTTGCCCATTGATAAATTAAATAACCCTGCTACCCTGGAAATTGGTTTAAAGTACGTATCTGACATTACTATTTTGGGTAGAGGGATCTTTCTAGTTTTCTGTAATATGAAGAACTGCAGTATGGCCTTGTTTGACCAGTACACGGGATAACTCAAACTGCGCACGAGTAATTCTCGTGAAATCCGCAAGCAACATTTTGGGCAGAGTATTTCTGACCACCGCTTTAGAAACTTGTCTAGCGGAATCTTGTTCCTGAAAGAACAATGTGCTAACTATCATTAAAAATATAAACCGACAGTTTCTGTTGTCTCCTGTCATTCAGCCGAAAATTATAATGAGAAATACTAACAAATTCAAATAAAAACGGGCATGTTTTGAGAAAGTCACAAAGTGCGCTGGCTGCATAACTCATCCAGGGCATTCAGCATGTCAACAACTTTTATTCCACTGAAAGCAGATGCCGTTTTCTAGATGCAACTGCTAAAAACATTTAATTAAATTGTCCGTACACGAAACAAATGGCACGGATTCTACCTTTTGCGAGCTGGGATACGAAAACCCGTTTTCAGTCTGCACCATTGTAAATGAGCCCGGTTTAGTTTATTCAAGAACATATCGGATTTTTATTAGATTTCGGTAGCTTAGTAAATTGTCTATCAAACGAGACTAAACAGTTAACATTGTTAGAATAAATATTTACAGTTTCGGAAATTGATTTTACAGTTTAGAAAGGCCAAAGCCTTGGTTCGGTGGAAACACGCATATTTCGTGAGGATTCGGAGCAACGTTAGCCAACTGGGCCCGTAATATGCGCCGGCCGTTGGGGCGGATGGACTATGTTCGCATTAGTTTGCTACGACGCAGCGCACTTGAAACATTAAATCGCTTCTCAAGCTTTATCCTGCATTTTTTCAAAGGACGAATTGCAGGTAAAGCCATGTGCATTTTACAACGAAAATCCAAAAGGAAGTAAAAGGGGAATTTGGGAGAGTTTGCACGCCAAAAAAGGCGTTACGCTGCCCCACCGGGTGGCTGCAGTTCTGTCAAGCGGCGGAAGCCGCGGATTTTCCTTTAGTGTAAATTCCCAGCTTATAATCTTTGGTGATTTCAATTGCTTTCGATAGGAAAGTGCTTTCTACCGAAGCACAGGCCAACTCGAACGAAATCACCCGTGCGTTTTACGCGCGTTGCGTCGGGAGCGGGGGGTCCATGCAACCGGCTTTTTCGCCAGGGAAAACACGGAGAACGTTAACGGTGCGATGCGATGAAACCGTGGTAAAATCGCACCGACTTCAGCGGTGCCGTTAGACAATTTCCCCGCGCTACGCATCGACTGCACCATACAACAAACAAATGCCTGAAAACTCCAAGTAAAAGAAACTGATTTCTATGAACATTACACCGAGTGCAATCGGTAATCTCCGACGCTCGTGTCTCCCTTCTTAATGCGCGTTCGAGCCAAAAAATCTTACAATAAAGCCGAATAAATGGAAATATTTTTACCGAAAAATACGCTTTCGTACGAATTATTATTTCCTAATAATTTGTACTAATATTTCTGATACCGGTGCACCGCTAATTTCACCGACAGCCCGGTATGACTCTTCTCTTACACCGCTGGAATACGGCGCGAATTTTTCCTCCCGAGACTTGCCGACGTGACGTCGACGACGCCATGAACATTTTCAGCATTTCAAATTTCACGGCGATTTTTCCGAATTAATTTTTAATTTATTCATTTATATCCGAATTGAATTTAATCTGCAAGATTTAACGATTAATTCAAGGATTCAACATTATCAGTCTGCGACAGGTCGGTACAGCAGAAAATTAACCAGATACAGCAAAACTCCACAAACATTTTTGTGGAGACAATTTCTGGATACGATCGTATTTTAATTAATTTTTTATTAACATTCTTATTATTAATTATTATTATTTTATCGAACTACAGTGGCCAACTCCTTTATTAATGCAGACAGATTTTATTATCGGGCATTCAGGCGACTGGAAATTATTGCTGGGTTTTTTTCGAAATTTTTATACCCTTTTTAGCCCTGATTTTATGAGAGAAAAGTTAGCCAACGTGGAAAATATTTCGAAAAATCATCTATCAAGGCAAATCGTCCAGTGGCACGCATGTAAAGAAAGAGTTTCCCTGAATCTAAAATTCCCAGAAAATCTCCCTTTTTTCCGAGTACGGAATTCAGAGAGAAAGAGCTCCGTCCCGCTCTCCACGCCGAGCGACGCATGATTTCGTGTGAAATAAACCAGAAATTCCATGAAAAAATAATAAACAATTTTTCTATCATTATTATTTTCGACACACCGGCCTCGTAATAATTTTGAAAATCAGAAATCTTCAACTGGACAGCTGAATTAACACGACGCATAGCGCGCAGAAAACCGGCACAGATGTGAGCCTGAAACCCGGCGCAGTTGCGCAATCGGAGAGCCTGTTTTCAGGGAACGTGTTCCGAGCAGGATAACCATTGCACCGCTCGCCGCAATCCAGGAGAAAAGCTATTTTCCCTGTGGATAATTACGCAGTACTCACAGTTGGTTGGCGTTGCCTGCTGAGGAGGGCATCCGGCGGACAAATGAAGCTGCGGCAGAAGAAGAAGCATCAACCACCAAAGGCATGTCGGTGAAAGGCAAACAGTGCCTGTTTTAAAGCCCGGAGACATCGCAGCGGCGGCCAGCAGATAAACGATAACCTGATAATGATGATTAGATTTTTATCATACAGCAGAGAAATCACAAACAGTAAATAGAGGCTTAGTTAACTGATTTAGAAAATTTAGATTATTTGCGGTAATTAATCAGCCCATAACAGGCATAAGCCTGTTATGGGCCTTAATTTCGGCTGATTTATCAAGTGTAAAATTGCAAATTAAAATTAACGCACGCGTAGCTTGTGCAAACTGCAGCTGCAACGAAGGATGGACCAAAGGCGCCGTGAACCGACCCCCTGGGCGGCCGTCCCATCCGCAAAGGCTGCAGGCGGCCCATCACCCACTGTTCACCGCGCTGCGCCGCTGCACGATGATCAAGCAATAATTCTGACACTCACTCACTAGAAAAAATAAAATTTCTATTTAAAAATCTAATTCTTTCTCTAACCAACCCTGCCGCAACACCATATGGCCTTGCCGTTCATCGCCCCGCCTTCCACTCGTGCCGAAGGAAGCAGCGGCAGCGCTAGATGAGCGGAGCAAAACCGAGGAATATCGCGGCATGCATCGCGTCCAGGTCCCCAGGATGACGGGTCGGCCCCGCAGGGCTGGGACTCAGCCTCTGGGAGGTGTGGAGCATGCGGAGCAGATGGAGCGGGCTGGTCGGTGTCCTCTCCAAGGTGATCCCGCAGAAAACAGGCACAACGCCAGCCGCAGAGTTTTTTGCAGCACCGGATCAGCGCACAAATCCAGCGAGGCAGCGCATCGATCATCTGCGGATGGTCTTTCCGTCCAGTTGAGCCACTACTGATCATCAATCTCCACTAACAGTTAGTGGAGATCAATTAATTTTAATCAGTTAGTGACTAACTGATTAAAATTAATTTAATTTACTGTAAAGTGCAACTCCCCTTCTAAAAATGGGTATTCGTCGGTCACTGTGGTATCTGTTTCAATTAAATTCAATTAATTCCATCAGTTTAGCGTATTTTTTTAATTTATTCTGGCTTTAACGGAAATATCAGTGAATACATTCATATATTAGTTCATTTAATTGCGTACAATTGACCTCTCATCGAATTGCAGGGCACCGTCATCCAGCGGGTCCCGGGTCCCGTCATCCCGGCGATCCTGCGCGTGATGCAGCCGGCTGTGTGTCGGACTGGTCAAGCCAGCGCTGCACGCAGCCCGGTATCCGCCAGAACTCGAGGGCGTCCGGGCCGTCATCCCGAGTCCGCTCTTCCGCTGATTGTTAGCGGAGTGCCGGCGCGCGCTACTTCCGGCGTTCTGCCAGTTCTTCAACGCGCTGCTGGTCGTCCGCGGGGACGACCGACGCTCGGGGAAACGGGCCAAGGTCTTGGACGCGCTCCCGGTGTTCTTGGCCGGGAAGGACGTCCAGTCCTTTCCTCTCGATGTGGGCGTCGTTGTGGAGGCGCTCTTAAGACGCATTTTCCAACGGCCGACCAGTCAGTTCTTCCTTCAACTAGATTTCTATTTATATCTTTTCATTTCGTTTTCCAGTTTAACTTCCAAGTAGAATAATAACATTTCTTCTCCGATATGCTTTCGACAATTTAGGCTTTCTGGTCTTCTTCAGATTTTCACTGTAATTTCCACGTTTTACACTCGGGAATTTTATTTATTGAATTTCGGAAATCGCAGTACGTACGTATTTTTATAACTGCAAAAAATCGTGGTGTAAATTTAATTCAACAGTATTTTTTTGCAGCCGACAAGAATGACCGCGCGCCAACTGGCCGGCATTCACCAAGCAGCCCTCTCTGGGCGGACTCGCAAGCTGCTCTTGCGAAACCGAAGAGCTGCTAAGCCTGTTACCCTTTTAATTTGTCCTGTAAATTCTACTTTCTGTCCCCGTTCCATTAATCCTTTACAACCGACACGAAATTTCCTGGTAAATAAAAATGGCTGATCGTTTGGAAAATTCTCTGGGTAACAGGCTAACAGCCTGTGTCCAAGAACGGCTGTAATTCACTTTTCCCGTACAATTTTATCTGTTCGAATTACTGCACCAACATCGTTGCCTAATAAATACATTTAATAAACCCTCATTTTCATTACACAGAAAAGCGCTGGAAAATAGTTCTCCCTATTTTTCCTGCGTGCACAAGCGATATTTTTTTCTGCAACGCAAATTACTTCGTTTTTTAGTTTAGGCTACTGCGAATTCACTGTCGAGGCCAGACGAAAAATCCTTTAATCGACAATATTTGCTTCAATAATCAATCTTTTTCAAGCAGATGCAGATTTGTTGCGTTTCCTGCTCTGTTTATTTCAGAAATCCGTCAATAAAAATTGCAAGATATCCCCACTGGAAAGACTCAACTGGAACTTACCTACTCTCGTCCTTGGTTGGAATTGCGTGGTCCACGGAATAAGGAATTCTCACGGCGGGGGAAGGGGAACAACGCCACCTCCGAGAATGGGGCGACACATGGGAAATCTGCTGCGGAATCTTTTCAATAATTCCATCTTTATCCCAAAAAATGATAGGTAGCCCAGTTAAAGCGAGTTCCAACGGGTAAAAATAAATCATCTTCGAGACTTCGCTCCACAGTCAGAAGAAAGCGCATTACAGTTTACACCGTGGTTCGATTTGGAGATATTAGACCGCGGAATGATCGAACGTGGCGGAGCGTAGCGAGGTTCTGAAGGCTGTTGTCTGGCACGCCGCAAAACAGCTGCGCACCACTTCGCGACGCCAGTAGATGAACTTTGAAGTCCTGAAGCCGGTACTGGGTTGCGCGCTAATATCGGCCGTAACATTGTCAGGAGCACATGTCGGCATCGTTATCTCATTAATCCATCTGCAGCAGGACTATACAGCAAGTTGCAAGTGCAGCTGGCACACCACCACATTCACTGCAGTCAGTCTCAGGCAACAATTACCAAAATTAATGGCATTGGCCTGTAATATGTGGCATGTACCGGGGATGCTGTGGTTTAAATCGTTGTCCATGTCCGGTCACGATCGAGGAAGAACATCTGCCCGTACGTAACCGGAAGTTGTTGGCACAACTTGAAGTATGTACTATCTGTATTGTACATGTTAAATTACTTCAGAAGCAGAACAGGATGATTGAGCAGCGATCATCGAGGCCGTTTATGTCGGAGGTATTTACAGCGTCTGCCTGTGGGTGTGAGTGCAGACGGTCCGCGGCAGGTGGCCCAACGGCACGGGAAGTACATGCCGCAGCAGCGTTGGCCCGTTTTGAAAATTGGGCTCCCGGCCCGTTACCGTCCCGTAAGCCGTTCTTCCCGCCCCGTTAACCGACCCGTTTACCACAACGCCACCGTTTTCCGGCGCCCGTTTTTAAAATTTTTCAAAGTAATTTTAAATGAAATTTTACCGGTTTTACTATTAGTATTACTGTAATTTTAAAAACCTGCTCTGTCATCAACCGTCAGCTTGTACGGATTTTGGAATGTGAAACAACGCAGCGAATCCTGTGTCTGCTCGCGTTTGCCGTACCCGAATACATATGTTGAAAGTGTCCGAAATGCGAACAACGTCGAAGTATTCCTCCTGCAGTCACAGCGTATCCGTCCCGTTCGGCTGACGCGGCGCAGACGGAGCTCCGGCAGAAGAGCGGGCTGCCTGCCGCTCTGCGTCAGTTCGCCATGTGCAACTACTGAGGTCATCTTTAATGAGCATAAGTCACCAGCAGTGGGTGCGAACAGAGAGGCGCTTGTTAGCGCCATATGAGTTAAGACGAAGTATCTTTTGTTCAAATGTCTACACTAACCAAATGACATGCTACTCGGAACTTTTAAGCATCGGGAATACGCGTAGCGGGTAATGTTCGGAGAAGCAAGTTTAGGCAGCACATACTGTGGTTGAATTAAATCTGAATCTGTCAACGACGCATAAAACGCACACAATTGTATGGTGCAGGTTTGTCTGTTTTTGTCTGAAGATTACTAGCACAAACTGGTGTACAGATACTGACGCATTATGCGCCAGTATGAGAGTCAATACGTATGAGTATCTCGAACGCAAGGTGTCGTGGGTAGTATCACGACGGACCAGAAGCCGGCTTTGGGAGAATGTTGAATCTGCGCCGGGACAACCGGCTTAAGTAATAAGTACGTACTTAATGAGCGACGTACTAAATTACAAAATTATTTTGTGGAATAATTGCGCAGGTAATACGCTACATTACATCGCATTGAAATTTTATTGAGCGTGCCCACATGTACAAGCTGTCCGGTAATTTCTGACGAATCCATACAGCGAAATATACAAATTTGTGTGTTACGCCAAACACTATACTGCGGCGCGCCACGCCACGCTGCCTAAGCAGGTAACATGCATTTCCCTGGCTGGTGGCTAGGTGCACGCCAAATAATTTAATGAGAATACGTAATAGTAACTGTCTGGTGAAAGGTGGCTAAAAAATGGTCGGTGCAGTAAGCGACAACCTAACTGGTGTGCGCAATTACGAGCTTTGATGAACGTAGTGAAGTGGCCATCGTTATAAGCGCAAACTTCGCGCTATCTGTATGTTTACGTAGGAAATTACCGGACAAGCTTGTACCCTACGTTCGTACTTTACAAGTACAGTACTGAATGTTAATGTCGTGAAATAACCGTTACTTTCCAATTTCGATATTATCCCGTAGGTGACTGTGCACCGTATGAGGAATGCAACGGCGTTGTGTAAGTTACACTACGAATAACTGGACAAATGGCAGCACTGTTACTGTAACTGAATTCCGGTCCAGCAGCTCAAACGGCTTTAAGAGGAGCAGTTAACAGCGCGCATCGGAAATTACATCCAATGCGCACAAAGCGCCAGCTCTGCATGCGAACGAAAAGGCGCTACGGATACTTAAGTAGTGGTTTTCGTATTATACGGGAAAACGTAGCAGCTACTGTTATGGGTCGGAGGTTACATATTCTTGGGTGCTTAACGTTTGCAAGCGCCAGGCGGTCATCGGCTATCGACATGTACAATACTTTATACTCGTATTATAAGCATCCGAAGTCAACGTTGCATGTCAACGATTCATTACTTCATCCAATACTGAGGCACGCAGGATTATTATAAGCAAATCTAGGTAAGAGACACTTTACATCATGTAGATAACGTTGTACCATTACGCACAGACAGAAAAATGGAGAATGATTGCGCTACAGTGATATTTTTGTTCAGCCGGCATCTAATGATGCCGGTGACCTTTTTCCATTTTTCTAAACGTGTAACTGGTTTCGATCCCAAATTCCCAACCGATATTCGGACGGAGATGGTATATTTATGCTCGTTTCTACCGACAGCAGTTTGTTCGATGTATTTGTGCGTAGTCCGCTTAATCAAGAAAGGTCATGTTTACACATTTAATGTCCGAATGTTTTTAATTAAAAGCTGCAGTACCCGGCGCGCAGTAGGTGCAGCTGCAGTATCCCGATGATTCGATGAATAATATTGTGGACATATGTAGATACAGCTGTTCTGATACAACACTGAATAGGCATCCCTAGTAAAATCAAATTCGCTTCCAGTTTTTCAATTATTTCAATTGGGATCAGCACCTGCACCATGGAGTATGCCACACGCGAGGCGGTGGCCGGTTGTTCATAATGTACATTGTACAGTTAGAAGAACGACGGTACGATTGAGAAAATACCGAAGTATTCTATTGCCAAGTTAACCCGCGGTTCTCGGTTGCGACTTGCCTAACGCCAGTGCAGTACGGATACTAGCACTCATGTCGGTTGCCAGCGCGTGCGACGCCGTGACCTTTATGTTTTCAGGGCTCTGCGACCGGTCGTTGCGGGGCATGGGATTGTGGGACGATTAATGGCAGTGCAGCGGTCGTTAGGACTAATCGTCGTCGGGCAGTAAACGGCAGATTCCGTTTTACGGGATTGTGATGTGATAGCTGTGGTGTGTCAGTATGGATATGTACTCAAACATCCTTTACGAACGGCTTTACAAGTTGGTGTCCTGCCACTTGGGCCACCTGACATTTGGGCCACCTGACATTTTGGCCACCTGACACTTGGGCCACCGCACTTTACGGTCTTTTACAAGTTTTCTTTCCCTGTATTTTTTATGTTTCTTAGTTTCCTTATGTTTCTTAGGTTTTTAGCGCCATGTATTAATTGAAATTTTAATTCAACATAAATCTGATCAGGAAGATGTTTGGCAATTAGAAGGATGTGGAGAAAATTTAACGGCACCTGCTCACATTGTCAGTGCATGAGTTCGATTTTCCTATGCTGCTACAATAGTGCAATCGAACCAATGCAGCCTCAGGGTATCCGCTTATATGCCTACGACTTAAGCACTTCATATCAATGCACGCTCGTTTTCGAATCTTGTGCACTTACTCGTACGTTGTTAATGCGGCAAGTTGCAGAGCATTTATCAATCATTTATCATACAGTATACTTACTTTAATTTTTTACGTGCAATAAGAAGCTATCACTCGTATCGGAAATTTTTTATAACAGTACGTTTTTCTGTTTTTGAAAAGTATTGGTGGCCCAAATATACGGTGGCCCAGGTGTCAGGTGGCCGCAGGTACATATCTCTATTCACCGCAGCAGCACAGTAAAGTCTAAAACCAATGAAAGCAAATTTCAGAAGTCCGCAAAAGATGTCTGCACATTAGGCGCCGGATGCGGTTGGCACTAACCATTTTCCAACTTACAGAGAAGTAAGGATTTTGGTGCTTTAAGTCAAAGGATGTTAATTAAAAAGAAAATTATAGAGCCTTTCGTACAATGGTAGTGCAGGGGCGGAGCCAAAAGTTAAAAGATCTGCTGGCCCTTTTTAATAGTAACCTCTAGCCCGTGGTGGTTAATTGGATGTACGATTACAGTTTAGCGCACAATACCCTTACTTAATTTAAGAAACTGGCCAAATCTCCGTAAAGGTGAACTAATTAACCTTATTATAGGCAGTAGCCATGAAACTGGCAAAACTGCAAGCGCGGGCACACTACTATGTTAAAATTTTAATGAAGAACCAATGCAACCACAAGTCTACAACTGCAAGTTCATGCAACCACAAGTCTACAACTGATAAAAGTTTCTTGCACTAGGAAAATGCACCTAATGACCGGAGTGCGGCTCTTCTGTGGGTTGAGGACTGAAGCTGACTGTTGTGGTTAGTTTGGAAGATGCAGCGTTTCAATGGACAGAAAGACAAACCCATAAAAAAAACGTTGAGGCAGATTATATTTAAAAAATAGACCTGTCTCGTGATAATCCGGATCGCATGCATGACACTAAACGAGTCAGTACTCAATTAGTTTGGCAACTTATGTGCGCTCTTAAGTGATACCCATAAATAGTACGTTTCAACTCTGAAAACTCAAAATGCTTCATTCCCGTCAATAGCTGCACTATCAACAGAGTATGGATGTACTCTTGACTCCAGTATGAAATTCCCTATGTGTGTGACTATTTGGGATTACATTTTGCAAATGCGGTGACTTTGTTTTGGCTCCATATTAGATATTATTATGGTTTAGTTCCGATCAGCGTTCGTATGAATTGTTCAGTTCAGTTCACCGAATCGTTCCCGCGTTTTTTGGTTTGTTTTTCTTATAGCTGAACATCAACCATTTTTACGCGAGTAAAGCAACGGTAAATTCCAGAAAAAGCGGCAAAATAAATTGAACAGTAGAAATGCCTTCTTATAAATCAATATCATAATCAAAGAGGAAACAATGGGATCTGTAAAATGACTACCCCATCAGGATATCCTTGAAAAAACTGCCGCACCGCTCAAATCATTAGGTAAACCGTTAAAATGGACAAAATTGCTAAACATTCGCCGGTGGGAACTATGAACTAGTCGTCCGTTAGTTTTCGCTTTTGATGCTCCTGACATGCTCTGCTTGCGTGATCGAAACAGCTGCAGCAGTCTCGTGTTGATCATGGCCTTAAACGCAGTGAGCTCCTTCATGGGCTGCTGAAGTTTGTAAAGTTCCGTCACATATCCTAAGAAATTAAGAGATTTATTAATAACAGAGGACAGACAGTCAAGCGTTTTGGATATCCATTACTCGCAAACAGTTCTACTGATAAATATGCGTAAATTACAGAACTGACCTAAAACAGCTTGCATAGTATTTCGCCCAAGGAGAAAGTCCACGCCCTGGTTGTCATACCGATTTTCGTAACACGCGATGATGCCCTCATCACCACCCATGAGATGCTGAACTATTTCCCACGCATGGGCAGTGTAGGTCTTTGGATTCCATATGGGATGCTTCATTTTGCAGTCATCAAGGATAGTTGTGTAAACGTAAATGTCGTATCCTCGTCGTAGCTGCACGGTTCCCTCAGCTTTTGCCTGCCAATACCAGATGAACTTCTTGTAACCTCCTTGATGCCTGATTATGCGTGGATTTTCTTCACGGATCACAAGAGGCGGTGCATCACTGTGGATATCCATCCCATATCGATTCTTGGCCACAACGTCTCGCACGCCAGATACAGACGTAATTGCTCGCAGATGATTGATGCGACCTGGCGCAAATGCCGATGATGAAGCACCAGTCGCAACTTCCGGTGGTACACTGTAAGGGATATCCCTGCCCGAATTTTGAACTACCGCAAAAAATTAAAGTGAATAAAGAAATGTAAAACAACATGCAACATAAATATAAACGCTTAAAATGCAAACAAATCTAGTTGTTTACTTGCGGGCAAAGCAGCACCGGAGCTGTTTTCCGAAGCAACAACTTGGATATCCATTGATTTGGACATTTCGCCTGCAAAGTTATTGAGAAACATTAAAGCTTTGACGGTTATACAGTACGGTAAGTACTAATTCAGCATACTGGGGATTGGAGAAGTTCCAGAAGAAGGAGGGAAATCTTCGTCGCAAAGGACACTTTCACAACCTACAAATCAAGTCACGGAAACAGCTTTTACTTTCAAACGGCTAAGTCAGAGCACGCAAACATTACTTGTCTTGCAATAGATAACTCTGCATTAAACTGTTAGCGGGCTATCCCGTTGAATGCTTTGTGGTTAAGAAATTTCTAAATTTATTAGACTGTAAAATAAGTTCCCGGATGGATATTTCATAGTTATAAATTAGTTAATTCAATAAACAAACATAATACAATATTTGCTAAACAAAATAAAAAACTCACCGTTTGATATGGCATCCACAGATTTATTGAGCTCAACCCCACAGGCGATTCCGCCAGGAAAACGTTGGATATCCAAAGCAGCGACTGGAAAGCAAAAGGAACATTACTCTTACTTCATAGAAGTACTATGTATATTGCTGTTTATGGCAAAAATTAAATTAATCACCGTTTTTTGTGGCAAGCACAGATTTACTTGGACCAGAAGCATTTACGCTAGATGATGGTTGGCTGTCCATGGAAGGTGAACGATGGATATCCACAGCAGCGACTGGAAGACCAAACAAATTCTGGATATTTTAAAAGTTTTAAAAAAATGAACACACCTTCAGCAAAACGCGCATAATCGGCCATACTCGGTTGTGGTGCAGATAGGGTTGTGTACGACATGTCTTTGTCGTTAAGAAAAGGATAATGAAAACCTAATAATTTCATTTTTATAATGCAAAAATGAAAGCAAAAACCGGGAAATTTACCGTCTGAAACTGGTAACATGGGTCGCAAATTCGCCAAATATCCCGTATCTGCAAAACATTTCAAAACCTTTTGCTTGACACCAAAATAAAAATAACAGGTTGCTACCAAGGCTATCCTGCGTCGAGCGATTTACTCCGGCATCTGCAACAGGCTTCGGTGGCATGCTGTTCACATAAAGCTCCTTTAGCCTTTCTTTATCCTGCGGGCGATTTTCAGTTAAATTATTTACAAAGTAACATGATAATTTAGGAAGCAGGGAGAAATAAATGGTAGGCCGTACTTTTCTGACAATCTGTTTGATATATCGAGAATTTTTAAACCTTAACAACTGCTAAACTTTGAACTGAAAATAAAAAAACTAAAAAATGGATATCCAAAAATGGCTTTTAAACTCACTTTCACACTGCGAAACGCTTTCTTTTTCTCCTTGAAATTTTCAACAATTCGACACTTCACGCTCTGCGCTTCTTTTTCCGTTTCGCAGATGTCGACTATCTCGCATATGTAGAATCCAGCTGTGAAACCACTGGATTTCGGAAACCACGCCGCAACTTTATCTTCCTTTTGATACTCCGCTCCTTAGCTTCCGTTTTGCACTTCGTCCTCCAGAAGACGGAACGAAGTCTTCTCTCCGTTCTTTTTGGTGAAGTCCACAACCCGAACGCAGTTGTCGTGATCACTTATGACGACAAAATACTCTGCAAAGAATAGGTTGTAAAATTACCTCACGTTTTATTCGTTTTCCGAATTGAGCGCACTTTTCTTCGCGACTTCACTTCGATGATGGATATCCAGTTCCTGTTGCTTCCTCTCGAACTCACCTAAAATATCAGAGTTTCGCTCAGAACTGTTCGACCGGCTACGTGAAGAGCGGCGTAAAGCACTTTCAGACATTTTTAATCAGAAATGAGCAACAGATATAAAAGAAAAAGTGCACTACTTGAGAAATTATAAAAATAAAGCAACGAAAATAAGCAGATTACTGGTACTGCTTAATTAAACACCAATTAACCGCTAAATTTCCGTTTTGCAGATCACCTTATATACATCAAAGAATGCCGGCAAAAAGGGCAGGCATCTGTAAAGCTACCAATCAGGAACGCCCATTGCATACAAGTCCACTAGCGTTGCTGGGATGGGAACACATGTTAACAATACTTGTGGAATTACAAACCAAGTGTTGAGTGAGCTTACAGTTAGTACTTACCACCCGCACTAGCTGTCGGCTCCATTGATGCCAAAGGAACCGACAGCTAGTCGGGCGGTTCATGGGCTTTCTCTGTCCCTTAATATCGTGTAAATACAGTATATTTCAGCGGGGTGGTTTGCAAATTCCACCACATTTATCCTACAACAGAAATGGATTTCCAGCAGCACCGCATTTGTTGAAACTTATTGTAGAAGTCATTAAATAATTTTAATTTTAAAATATTTTGCTAGCAATATCGAGTTAATTTTCCTTAACGATTCAAAGTTTTGCGAGGTAATATCTAAGGATAATTAATATCATGAACCAAAAACGCTCCGGAAATCTCCGAAAGTTTTCACCTGAAACTGGTCGTTTGAGTGTGCCTAGTATTTATCGCAGACTGAAGAATGCTGGTGATAGTCCAGGTTCAGGATATCCTTACGAAAATTACGGTATGTTCAAGAGATAAATGGACTATTTGGGAATAAATATTTACTCTATAAGTTTCCTGCAACACTTCATTTATTTTTCTGAATTATTGCAGAATCCGAGTTCGAGATGTCGGTAGACAGCAGCTTTGGCGTGGGGGAGAGCGAGTTTCCCGTTACCACCGCTGAATGCGCAGCTGTCATTGAAGAAACCAAAGACGCCGGTTATCCAGAAGAAAGTTTTTCCGCAAAATATGTATATGAAGGATGCGACGTTCTGCTGAAAGATGCTGTTGAGGAATTGCTGTTGATTTTTCGAAAAACCAACTGCAGCAATGTGGTTCAGGAAAAGATGTTATCATTCATTGACCGGCTCCTGCCTGCGGGCCATAATTTTCCTTCCTCACACTACCTTTTAACAGCTTATGTCAAGAAAGACAGGCCAGAAATCTCGGAGTACATCCATTGCATTGAGAATGGCACTGTGCGCGGTGTTAACGAAGATTTGGGCTGTTGTGGAGTAGTTCAAACTGCCAACACAAATCATGTCAAATTTTATTGCTTATCTGTAAAGGACAGCCTGATTCAGCTATTTGCAGGACCAGTCAGTCCGGCAACTTCTCGATGCCCCCATTCCACAAAATAACTTGGATATCCAACATGGGAACCGGTTAACTGATCTTTCTGAAAAAGAAAACCATCGGCGCCTAACTTTATTGTTCTGGTTTGACGGTGCAGATGTGAAGGGAAGGAAAAATAGTTTGTGGGTTGTGTCCTGGACCTTGGCTGAATTACCGGTGCGATATCGATGGGGGTTTGCACGTTTTGCGGCACTCTATGTCGGCCAGAAAAAACCTCCGGCGAACGTTTTATTTAAAGCCTTCATAACGGAAATACTGGATATCCAGAAAGGATCTCTGTGCATAAATGTCGGTGAATCTGCGCTGCTCTTTAATGTCGAAATCGGTTTATGTTGCTGTGATTCCCCAGCACGAGCGGATATCAGAGGCAGCCGTCTCTATAACTCAAAAGTGCGTGGCTGTACCAGCTGTTTAGTAGATGGGGTCCAAGACAGCAAAAGCGTACGATATCCATTCAAGCACGGGGATATCCTGATTTGGAGAACGAATGACAGACTAAGAAATCAGGCTCAAAACTGTCTAGCAAAAAGAATAGCGGCACAGACTACAAAAGAAATTTCTGAGTCGGAGGTTGGAGACGACGGCATTAAGAACTATTTCGAGATGCTTCGACTTCCAGCAGAAAGATTCGACATGATCAAATGCTTCCCACATGATTTAATGCACGTTATTTCCAAATGTCTCAGAGCGGCTTTTTTTGGTGTTGAAGGAAGTGGATATCCAAGAATTACCGATTTCAAAATTGCTGGATTTCGGCAACCAGAAGCGTCTTTTAGATAAACGCTGTATCGATTTGCTGAGTGACGTCATGGTTAGAGAAATTAAGTATCCCAGTAATTACAACCGGATACCCGGCCCCTTAAATGAAACGAATGACTACAAAAATAATCAGTACCTGCATTTGTTTCTCCATACATTGCCGCTGCTGTTTCAAAAGAGAGGCGACCATGTAGATCAAGCTGTACATCCCGCTGTGCGAAAGCTGCTGCTGAAGTTTTCTTACGCACTGACCTATCTCCTGTGTGATTACCGTTCCCCGGAAAGTAATGCGAAAGAGATCCTGAATTACAGAGGTCATATGGCTAAACGGCTAATTTGCGATTTTGTGCATAGGACCTACATGTATTTCGGAGCTGGAAATATGACGTACGCGTTTCATCAGCTGTTACACTGTTCCGACAATTATCTTGATTATGGACCCGCATATGCCTGGAGCGCCTGGGTATGGGAATCGCTCTTTAATCCGCTAAAAAAGAAACAACATGGCACTAAAAATGCAGGAAAAGAGCTGGCGAACAAAATTGCACACGATCAAGCTGTTAGAACTGTTATCGGCGTCTACAAAAATGGTGATGAGTTTACTGTGTCGGGATATCCCAAATCACTCGGCACGCTTCCGTGCGAACACCTGACCGACCGCGAACAGCAGAATCCGTAAACGTGCATCACGGACCTCCTCGATGTAATGCGGTTTAGAGGCTAAAGAATTTAAAAGTCGTTCAGATTCTTAACTTTGTGATCTTAGAACACAGCAAAATCGGAACCGGAAAAACAACTTACGCACTCGTTAAGTATTTGTCGCCGGGTAGCGGTACCGTTCCGATCGTCTGGAAGGAATCGGGTATTCCGTCTAGCATTCCCGTCAACCTGGATATTCCCGTTTTATATAAAAAAGGAAACGTTAACTCGTGCGCCGCAGCAATTGTGGCTGAACAACTGGACATGCCTTTATTTAGCATTCAGTCGAACTGTAATCTGTTGCTTAGTTATCTCTGTCCTGCAATAACGAATGTGCCATCAGATTGATACAGTGTCCTGATTTTTAAGTTTGTACAGTACTGTACTTACGTTTGTTATGATATTTGTTATGATTACTGGGTAATAATAACTTTCTCTGCTAGATATCCATACAAGGTATAAGATAATACATATGTATTGCTCAACATTGTATTGCTTAATACCTGCGCACTGCATATAGAACGTCTCGATTCGGGTGGCAATCTCCCCCGATTCCCGCAACTGTCGCATAACTCCCAGATCCCGCTTGCGGTGCTTGTCAATGGTGTAGGCAACACTGCATCGTCCTTGTGGCGATACTTGATTTTAACGTCCATTTGGGACAACAGTGCTCACGCCTCCGTTAAATGGCCACAAAATTAGAAATCGTTGCTGCTCGAATAAAATGGATGGCCAAGGAAATTATGTAGATCATAAACATTTATATTTACTTATTGACACAAATAACAAATCCAAAGAAAATCGCAGATACGGCTCGGTCATTTCAACGGCTCGTCGATGCAGTAAACATCTTGAACGTAACCTCCTGCTAGTGGCGTGTACACCATGGACAGAAAAGGAGTTAGTTTTTACTGCCACTTATCACTTTCTCTCTGACATCACCAAAAGTAAAAAACTGTTCACAGATATACCACTCTATTTGTCCGTAATACTTCCAAAAAAATAAATCACAAAAGATACAACCATTCCCCAATCAGAACAAAACGCTTTCCCACACTGCGCTCTGCAGGAAACATATACTACTAAGGCAAATTCCTAATGAAACTAAAACCAGTGGAGCCGATACCTGAACAGACTGCGAAATGTAATATTCACAACAAAAGGTTAATTCCCTCATTGCAGCACAAAACCATTGGGATATCCCGAACGTGTCTACACTCCTGAATATCGAACGCAAATCCGCCAGCCTGATTATATTGGATAGCCGCTTCTCCGTGGAATCCCTGCCCGCGGCGAAAGCGACGATGAAATTCCTTGGAAACGGGAAAAGCTCGTCCGTTCGCCGGCAAAATATCGTCGAAAAACGCGCTTTCCATAAACGGGCAGATTGCCGCATGAAACGTAGCATCCGGGCTGGTTCTATCCGCCGGACCGCGCACCGGCAGGTGACACTTTTCACACTCAAATCCATTCTGCATCTAAGAAACATAGGGATATCCCGCAGTGTATAAAATGAGTCTTTTCGTTGAATTATATGAAATGCAAGAAAACGTACAAACTGATCACGATGGGCATCCATAACGTGTTGGTTCAAACGGTGAGCGACAGGATCTGCGGCACAGTACGGACAGCGCACCCGTTGAACGTGGTGCCCAGTGTCGCGCTGCCTACGCCTACAACAATAATGATTGCAGCCTGTTGAGCATAACACCTTTAAATTTGAAAATTCTGCGTACATCTCACGAATATGATGTTCACAGCTGCGGATGCAGTCGCGAGCGCGTTGAAAACTATACGCTCCATCGGCAATCAAATGTTCGGTATTGACGACATTCGCCAACTTTGGGATTCCGCAGTGAAGAGCCAATCGCATAAACAACTAAACAAAAAATTCATTTGCGAAGCCACACTAATTTCGCACACACGTTTACGTTTCCATGGATATCCAAACAATAATAACGCGGTACAATAGAATAGTGTTCCAAAATAGCAGTTATCCGATTCTTCTAGTCAATGGTAAATTTATCCCCTTGATGTTTTCCCTAAATGTTAATAAAAAAAGTATAAATTTGTTTTTATGTACCTCCGCGTCACGGTCCGCGCCAACTGCAAACGGGCGCAAAAATGCGTCGATGAAGACCACGCGGAAATGGTCGTTTCCTGTGCGCCAGCGCAATCCACCTGGCAGCATGATGCTTTTAATGACTTCCTCCTTCACTCGCCAGCGCTTGAGAAACTCTCCGAGGCTGACGATGTCGTGGTAATCCCAGCGTTCCAGCACGACAGCAGAGTGCAGTTCCTTGCCAATCGTCGGGATATCCCCGTGGCTGCAAACAAACTTTGTGCATATAAATTAACAATTTTAAGATAACTTGAGCGAACAGATATCCTACCACGCGACTGCCAGTGCCTCCATAATGCGCAAATATTGGATATCCAAAGCAGGAGCGACCTCCAGGTTTTGCAAGGTGATTGGGATATCCCGAAATAACTCCGCGCTGCGATCCACTATGACGGCCAGATTGTTCAGGTTCCCCTGATTGGGACCGCGCATAATGTCAGTAACAACACCGTTTTGCCAATCCAATTCGCCTGCCATTTTGAAGTGAAAAAAGTGCGAAATACGACAATAACTATATTTTTTCAGACGAAAAGGAAGAAAATAGTCTGAAAAAAGTACTGTATGAATAAATTGAAAGTTCGAGAAAGTGAAATGAAACAAAGAAAGTTCAAAATTTCTACCAGTCAGTGCTCGATCACGGTGCGCAATGCCGGTTACGTATTACGCGCCGCGCGTATGGGCTGCACGCGAACTTCGTGCGGGGCCCTTTGTTTGAACATTGTACCAATACGTTTTCAATCGCTGCATGGCTCCCGTGGTCGGTGAAAGTATAATACTCATTTACTAATGGTAAACTATTGAATAAACGCTGGCAAGAGTATATAAAGACTCTGATCTTCTTTGAATATTTTTTGGATATTGTTGCTTTTTAAAACAACCGAAAAAGATTCAGTTTATAGTCCAAACAGACGTTTTTCTTTATGGGAAAGCATTATTAGCTTAATTAGGATTATTAGCGTCAAGCGGGATGTACGTGTGTGACTGGGAAGTCTGTCCAGCACTTTTGCCTGGTTCCTCTGCCACCAGAACCAGCACGGTAACTCTTACTTGTCGACTCTACTTCAGCACAGACGAAAAAAGTGTCTGTCTGTCACGCTGCCCGTCTGTCCTGGAAGTGCCTCGAAGACGTTATTAGCAACTAAACCTGACGATGTCAGCCAGTCCTGACAATTATTATGTAAAGGAAGTGGTCGCACTGCCTTTATATGGTGCCCATCTATGGAGTGCCAGTACTACATCGCGATATTTAATACTTATGCGCAGTCAAAGCTCCCTGAAAAGTGGAAGAATGTTTGTGTGTACTCTGTAGTGAATCTGCGACTGTGCCTGTTACGGTAGTGGGAAATTATTTTCATATTGCGTTGCTTTCTTATTCCCTCATCACAATATTCTGGCTATTTACAAGCATTTAGGAAACTGCGCAGAGTATGGCCTGGCAGACTGGAGCACAGCAAAGTACAGCCACATTATAGAAATTATATTATTTTCTTGTCGGATTAGTGTTCCTCTTATGGGTGCCTGCGTAAATTCGAACCTCGACACAAAACCTTGAACATCTATGATATTTTTCAAATATCTTTGCAAAATGTTCTGAAATACATGAAAGAACGAGTGCCTTCTACGAGATTACCTACTTTATCAAACATTTTTTGCATTCAAGGTTTTCAAAGATCGAGCGTGGTAAGAATGTTGGGCGGCTTCCTTGTCGAGGTCACCGCATAACTGTGGGAAGTATTTTTTGGTTACGGCAAAAGTTGTTTTTCGCCGTGTAACAGGAAACCTTCGTTGGATCTTAAATGATCATTAAATGCGCTATGAAAGACTGTACAGTATACTAGAAACGTACGAAAGACTGTACGTACTAGAAAAAGTACGTATAAAAGACTGTATAAAATAGACTTTAAACTTTAAGATCGATGGAGATTACACGCGCGACACGATGCCGGAGGAAAAAAACGCCTTACCGCCAACTTGGCGCGACCAGGGTGTAATTTATTGTTGCTGTTCAGCAAAGTTTTTGTAATCACGGTTAGAAGCGGCAAGGTCGTCTACGGGTATTATTTTTATTTCGGGTACAGGATGTCTCGGGTTCAGTTCCGGTCTGACCCCTCTTTATTCCCTTTTTCGTGCTATATACAGTAGATAATATTCACCGTTGATTTCTGTTGTTTTTTCTTAATTATATTGTCACGCCCGCCAAGTTCACAGTTAAGCGCTTTACTGTGACATTGCACTTGCAGAAAAAGCAAAATGACTGCCCCCTCCTCTTCGTACCGGCACAGCCGCACAGGCTAAAAATCAATACCAGTCGCGCATAGAAACTGCAGTGCATACATTCCGCACACCGAACAGCTACGGAACAGGGCCGATACCTTCAACGCCGGACGCCCACAATAATTATATTTTGCCGGTAAAATGTGGTGGGTATGCGCGTTCCCAGTTCGTGTATTTTTGACTGTTAGTTGTGCCATCAGCAGGCGAACCATGTTCCGCTGCTGTAGCTGGCCGATTAGGGAAAGCTTTTACCGGGTCCTCGTGGCCCCTGCTTGATACACGGCCGGGCATCGCAAACGTTACGCAGCCGTTCGAACTGTGTGTGTAGTTATTTAGTAGTAAAGAGGGGGCTACTCATTTGTACTAGATTTGTGTGGCAAACCTAATCATTTGGTTGTGCAGTGTGTTCATGCGTAGAAGTATGACATATTTCTACGCATGAACACACTGCACAACCAAATCATGGTATTACAAATCGTGAGAATCCGTTCCGTTCTTCCGTATATACGATCTCTTTGCCGTTGAATAGAATCATAATTATTACTGTATTGGAACATAATTGTTCCCGCCATACTGTTATTAGTAAAGGAAATATCTGCGTGCGTGTCGCTTTTCTTGCTCACCTTGCACATAGCGACATAGCGGCTGGATGTCCGCCATCCCGTTATTTGCGCAACCGTAAGTGCTCCGCATATCAGAAGGAAATTACTTTTATTTTTGATGTTTGTTAAAATATTATTTCGGCTAAACTTTCCTATGCATTTCCGAAATTATTTTCATAAAATTGTTTACATTTTCAAATAAATTCCTGCAATTCCAAAATTATTTTAATATTATTCCATTTTACTTTTGAAATCTTAAGATTGACATTTAGTATAAGTTTCTAACGGCTTACATAGTTCTCAGTCAATGTTCAAGCTAATTTTTAGTCACCTAAAATTCTTAGTTGGCAAATAGCCACACAAATAACAGCAATTGCAAGCGTTCTCAACTTTTGATACACTACTTGATAGCTAAAAATTAAACATTGAAAAAAACGCAAAATAGCTTACATTTTGTGGCTGAGTTTTTAAGGTTTAATCTTTTAATCCGGGATTCCGGGGTATTCCGAAATTGTTTTCTGATTTAGTTTTTGAGTTAGCTGAAAAAATTTTCTAAGGGCTAACAGCTTTTACCAGAATATGAAATTTCTTAAATTCTGCAAATTAGTTTTTAGTTTAGCCGCCAATGATTTTTTAGATTAAGTTATAAATTAGTAACATTTTGTACTTTGTGCTTTATTTAAACACTGGATAGATAAACTGGAATATGTTTGCCAAAAATTTTTTTGAAGTGGCCAAATAATATGTAAAAATTATCGAAACATCGAAATCATTTCCCGAGTAAACGTTCTTTCTGAATTATTGTATCGTTGAAATAATTTCCAAATGTATAAAGTATAAAGGAATTAAAAACCTAATTTCTGATTTCATCAAAAAATTCGCGAAAATCACATGAATAGTTTTAAATCTTGAAATAACTTTCAAAATTCTTTCCAGCTTGCCGAATAGTTTTTAAACAGATTTTCAAAATAATTTCTCGGTTCTAATGCAGCGGACGGCCGAAGAACCGCGTAGTTTGGTAAAATTCTAGCCGGCTCACTTGCCATATTGGAGAACAACAGGAACGTTGATTTGATCAACATAATGCGGCAGATCTCCACGCAAAGGTTGCCGACCAGCGCGATATCCCGAGCACGCTCGGGGGAGGATAGGTGTTCTGGTGCATAGTTTGTACTCGTACCATGATACTTATTAAAGGTTAATTTAGTTATTTTACATGCAGCGCATGAGAAATCCCCATCCTCTTCCAAGCGTGGCACCATGTGAAATACCCATCCTCCCGGCCCCCAAAGAGGTACAAGGCTGTCGACAGATTGAGCATTCGTAAATACAGCGAACATTAGAAATTTACGGGTTACGCATACATCCATACTAGGGCGCGCCACGTAACATACATTTGGCTGGCTGGTGCCTTGGTGCACTCCAGATATTATTTTGAGAATAATTGTTACTGCATGGCGGAAGGTGGGCAGAAAACTGTCAGTTCAGTAGGGACAAGGTAACTGGAGAAGCTCCCGGAAGTCAGTCTGACGGAGCTGGAAGAGACCCCCCTCCCGGATTCACCGCCCCGCCCCACACCCCCCACTCCCGCGCCACACCAACCCGGCCTCCCAGCGCCACCGCCCAACGGCCCTGCGCACCCACAGCAACCGCCTGTCATTCCCCGGTGACGCACCCGTTGATGCGGCAGACGGACGTCGGCGATGGAGTCCGATGGGCAGTCCGGTGAGCTACGACGGCGCGTCGACCTCCGGGGGCCGTCGGGAGACGCCGGGACGCCGGCTGTCCTTCATCGAGGGCACCTCCGTGATGGAGAGCATCAACCATCTGGCCTATCCCAGCCAGATGCTCGTGCAGGAGGACGACGGACTGCCGCCGGTCAGTCGGCGCGCCAAGGAAAAGCTGCGCTTCAAGCGCCATCCGTGGAAGTGGATCAAGAGCAAATTCTAAACGATCTTTCAAGGAATTTTCACAATATTATTTATGGATAAATTCGCCCGGTGACGGATTAGTTTTGGGGAGGTGTATTTGTTTTTGATTATTCTTTGTGGAGTTTGGAGGCGGCTGCTCACTTGATTCATTTACCGGTAGCTCAAATCTGCAATGCTTATCTTTGTTCAGCCGGCGTCTAATGATGCCGGTGCCCTTTTTCCATTTTTTTAAGCGTGCGACTGGTTTTGATCCCAAGCGATAGATATTCTGACGGCGATGATAATCATTACTATTGTCGTATTAACCAACAGTACCTTGCTCGATGTATTGCACGTATAACGTTTAATAAGGAACGTCACGATTACATAATTGCGTGTCCGAACGTGTGCTATTAAAAGCAGCAGTACCTCGTTTAGCTCGCTGCCTATCGTTCCTCCTGATCCTAATACGCATTACCCAGCCCCCAAATCCCACATTTTGATTCCAGCCGAATTATTTCGCGCAATTTGCGCGGGGTTTGCTACGAGTAGTTGTTAATATTCATTTTCACAAGAGCAGACAATCCACTGACTTATACAGTGTATTAAAGCGACGCTGTCTCGTCGACAAAACACAAGAAAAGAGCAGAATACACCCAAGAATCTAACAAGGAAAAACCGACAAACCAATCTACCCAGATCACCCGCTTTCAATGCAGATTTAAAAGGCCAGCAGTTTCCGCATTACCGTACGGCGTACAGTAACATTCTGTATGCTCGAAAAAAGATCTCTCATGCGAACGGCAAATGTGGATTCCCCGATCTTCTTGGTTGCCTTCGCATCTACTCGTGTAGCTGTCCGGGCGTTGTAGGGAGACCTTTAACTAGTCGCGAAAAACAACCATGTTTGATGGATATTCGGGCACGGAAAACGCGTTCTTATTCCAGGTCTTATACAACCACACCGCTTCACTCTACTTCCATCGATACGAGATGGGTATAATTCCCAAGTCCGGTTGCAGTATGCCGAAGTGTCTTACGCCGAAATGCCCGGATGCCGAAATGGTCTGACACGGAATGTGCATTGTACAGCGTATTCGAACCTGGACTGTATAAACGCTGTCAGGTGCAGACCGTGCAGTACTGACTCCCAGCAGTACCAGGCACTGTTTCCGTCTCCAAATTAAAAACAAATTCGTATTTTGTGAAAACGTAGTATACTGCCGTGGTATGATTGAAAATATTTTCATCTGCAAAGGTCAAATGGGCGTAGCCAAGCAGAAATTTAATGAGTACAGAGTACACATACTATTAGAATGTAGTATTAAATACTAATTGCATTTTCTGCCGCAGTGTCGTTTTTACTGGCACTGCACGTCCCGTGGATCCTTCCAGATGCCAATCGAGCACCAACGTACGTACTACGGCGCGTGCGCTGACTATTGCAACAAAATTAGGAAACTTCAAAAATCTAATACTAGTAACTTCGCTAATTTTTAAGCTGCTTCGTGGATGTCCATATGGCTCGGGAATTACGTATTAGGAAGTATTTATGTAAAATTTTAAAAATGCATGATGCAGTACTTGCCAGGCAAGATGGGACTACTGGAAGCGTTTTTGGAGTTATGTCGGTGCTTGACACCAGGAAGGGTCCACCGTCGCAAAATTAATGTGAATGTTAAGGTAAATACTAGTGCTGCATAATAATAGTACTTCTATGCAATACTATGTACTCATTGAATTTATGTTAGACCACGCCCAACTGATCTTTGCAGATAAAAATATTTTTTTTGTTTTAAACAAACCACGGTAGTCTACTACCTTTTTACAAAAACTGAAATTTTGTTGGAATTGGAGGCGGAAATGGTGCCGGGTTAGTTTACCCTACAGTTTTACAGTACAGTAGAAATTCGAAAGTAAAAGTTGGAACATCCAGCAAAATAAATGCGACTTATGTGAGAGGTAGCACACATTTGCTGCTTAATAATACAACACCGTATGATATCCGTTTCGAGTACTAGGAAGCATACCAGTAAACCCCGCGCAAACTGCGCGGGGTCTAGAGCTCACTTGGAGCTGGATGGGTGGGTCTACTACCGTAAGTTACTAGCAAATATGTAGCAATCCGGAAGAAATTTTGCGCACGTTAAAAATCGAAGAAAATCGATCGACTGTTGGTGTGTGTGTGTGTGTGGTGTGTGTGGCTGTGGGTGGGAGAAGAGATAGAAATGCCAGAGAGACAAACGTACAGACAGACAGAGAGAGGAGGCAGTCTAAGGGAGGAACGTCATGTTGAAGAACTAATCCAGTCGATGAAAATTGTCCAGTGCGTTGTAGCATAGCAGCCGATTGTAGCTGGCATTGGTTGACGATCATGATATTAAACTAGAATATCGCCCAGCGCTTTATCGAATACGTAACTCGGTAGCTGGAAGCCTGCAACGCGTTTTTGGCCGGGCAAATAGATTGTTCAGCAACTGAGTTTATAATAATACCGGGGTAATAAAGGCTCTCTCACACTGGCCGTGTGCTGAATTTGTAGGGCTTATACATTGTTTATTTCCCACTCCGGAATGAGAACCATGGCCGAAATGGACACTCCTTAGTCCTTACCGTTTAGACTTTTGTGTGAGGGTTTATAAAAGCCTGTGTGGGCAGAGATTTTGCGAATCAAACGCGCTGTGGTCACCCATCTGTGCGGAACTCGCCGTTCTTGCGGCTTACACTGGTGCAAAGGGGGAGACGCGGCAGCAAATAGCTGATGTATTGGGACTTCGCGACGACTATACCCTGGATCACTTCCACACTGTGCTGACGGAATTGAAAATGAACGATGACCAGAAGCACGGGCTCCTCCAATGTATGAGCCGGATCTTGTAGCGTATTACTGTAATACTAAAAACAACGTCCTCAAATATGTATGTGATATTACTATAGTCTTTAAGGATGCTCCGACTATTATACGGAAAGCAGGAACAGACTTGAAGTTCGCATGAAATGCTGAATGTCAGACCGCATGCTCATTATCGTTAAATTAAAGAATACAGTCATTTATTTCTACCGTTAAAGAAGTGCGATGAAAAATGCGATTGTGCTATGCGCCCCAAAATTTTTGGGCGCACAGTTAATTTCGAAGAGCCCCAAAAATTACAGTTGAAATTTTGTTATTTCAATATTTACTTTTTTTAATACTTCTCTATTAATACGAAATCAAATTCTGCCGCGGCAATCTATTGGATTTTTTTCATTATTTTTGAGTTGTCCGCGAAATATGATGCATTTTTTCGCATGCGGTCTATTTTGTATTAAAACATCAGTTTGTACACAACTAAATATTGTTAGATTTATTTTTTTTATTTAGAGTTATTTTATTTGCAATATGTATGAATTTATCATTTACAAGCTAAAACTGATGCAATTCGCATTTACGTTGTAAAGGCGTACCGTTTACCTGAATTTTAACCGGTGCATTGTATTTAACGCCCATTGCATCGTTTTTCGCAGTCTTCATTATTGATGGTTTACCAGGATTATTTTTTCCGTGGTTTGTTTTGGTTCGCTCGGTTGTTTATTTATTTCTTCAGCGCTAGATATATTGTGTTATTAAGCTATCCGTTTTGGACACAAAAGGCATCCGTGTATAACTTATTTAGCTCTTTCTTTCTTCAATTGCTCAGAAAATAATTAATGCAACAAAATATCGGTGATTTATTGCGTCAAACAGGCAAAATAGGGAAACTCCTGGTATAATGTCCTTTGTTCTTCTAGTTTTCCTTATTTTATTTATTTTATTATTTGCTCTTATTTCGATCTTTTGCCTGCTCATGTCTCAGTCGTATGTTTGATAATGTTATTTCTTATAAAATCTTACCTTTGACACGACCATTCACATCGGTACACTACCAATCCACGCTACCTTTCACTTGGTGCACTACCAAACTTTTATGTTAAGAAAAAGATCAATATTACGCGCGGCCTCCCACAGTCTGGAGATCTCTCTAACCAACAACTTTTAAAAAAATCTGATACCACAGTTAGATCGGCCGTGGTCCAGAACTGCGTTACATGACTTTTGTTTTTCAATACGTCAGATCAGAATCGTACCGGCACGATGCCGCAAACGATCCAACCCAGTTTCAAGGTGACCTTGAAACTTGAAAAATTTTGCTTGGATACAATACGCAACATAAATTATTAAATACGCAAACAAAACGTAATAAATTGAACTTATTTTCGTACCACATCAACCACAAAATTAAGTAATCACAAGTTAGCCTATCGATTTATGTTGACGGCACATTTGCAATATAATGGTTGGTCTTAACTCTTAACCATACGGACATCGGGCTGTTCGGTTTTTGCAGGACCACTCTTCTAAACAACTGCTAAAAGCAAATAGCCGCATTTAATATTTAAGGTGAGTGAGTGGCCGAGATACCTTTACTGACCAGCGAGCGAAATCGCTAACTGAGTGTGTGAGTTACCGAGTTACCACTGCCGTCCAGTGAGCAAAACAGTGAGCAAAATCGCTAATTCACATAGTGAGTGACCGAGCTACCACTGCTGCCCAATGCAATGAGCCCGTTAGGTGAACAAGTGACCGAGCTAACGCTGCTGTCCAGTGTGACAACTGACCGCGCTACCACAACAGTCCAGTGCAGACAGTCCGCCAGGTGAACGAGTGAACGACCACTACTGTTCTGTGCACAGAGCCCATAGCTGAGACTATCTGTAGGTGAGCTGGTTACCGAGCTATCACTCCTTTCTAGTGGACAGGGTTAGCTGACCTAGCACCACAGAGAAATTTTCCCGATTTTTGGAGCAGTATGAAAAATTTCTAGATGATTTTGTTGACAAAATGCTCAACGATGAAGGGAGCGATGCCGAAGCTGGTGATTCACTGCCGAAACAAAGCGAAACACACCTGGTACTGGTGTGTTTCGCTTAGTATGCAGCAATAACTGCTGTTAACGAAAAAGCGGCAGTTCCAGAAATAAATCTGCTGTGAAAAAATTGAAAAAATAAAAGGTTGTGCACGAAATGAAAGGGAGTGCAAAAGGTTGTGTACAGAGTGAAAGGGTGTGAAAGGCAGTGTACGGATAACGCAAGAATAACATCTGAGGGGCAGAGGAATATGAAATTAGCATAACAAAAGAATTAAAATAAAGAAAACTGAAATAGCGTAGGAATAGCATAAGAAAAACAATCAGAAGAAACAAAACCTTGAAGAACATAAAATAGTTCACAAAAATTCTGAGACCCAACAATCTAAGAACTTATAAGGACTAAAATTAGTGCAGCTTACTTTTATGGGTTTCGCATAAAAAAAATTCAGCGAAACTTTTAGTAAAGCAGGCAATATTTCTTTCGATGACAGAGCGTTAACTATAGCACGAGACCTGACCTTAGACGAAGATTATCCCTTCAATTCTATTTATTTTTAATAGAGTATTTAGTATTTTAGACAGCGGCTATCTATCCAAGTGCAACGGGGAAATGCGTTATGTGTTAGGGCCCGGGCAGGCCCATGCTCAAACTCGGACTTGGACTCGGACTTGGACTACTAAAACTTGGACTTGGACTTCGCTTGAACTCTAAAACTCGGACCTCCCTTTGACTCTAAAACTTGGACTTTATGATTTAGACTTAGATTTAGTTTCTCATGTCTTCTTACGTTTCTTCATGTTTTCTCAGGTTTCTCAGGTTTCTTAGGTTATTTAGGTTTCTTAGCTTTCTTAGGTTTTTTCGGTTTCTTTGGTCTTCATAGGTTTCTTAGGTTTCTGAGGTTCTTAGGTTTCTGAGGCTTCTTTGGTTTTCTTAGGTTTCTTAGGTTTGTTGGGTGTTCTTAGGTTTCTGAGGTTACTAAGATTTCCTGTGTTATCTAGGTATTCTTTGGTATTCTGAGAAACCTAAGAAGCCTTGGGAACCTAAGAAACCTAAGAGACCTAAAAAACCTAAGAACACCTAAAAAACCTGAGAAACTTAAGAAACCTGAGAAACATAAGACACCTAAAAACCTAATAACACCTAAAGAACCTAAGAACACTTAAGAAACCTAAGAGACATGAGAAACCTAAGAAACCAGAAAAACCTAAGAAATCAAAACGACATAAAAAAAAACCAAAGAAAACCTAAGAACACCTAAGAAACCCGAGAAACCTAAGAAACCTAAGAAAACATGAAGAAACGTAAGAAGACATAAGAAACATAAGAAACGCCTAATTCCAAGTCCAAATCATAAAGTCCAAGTTTTAGAGTCCAAGTGAAGTCCGAGTTTTAGAGTCCAAGTGTAGTCCAAGTCCAAGTTTTAGTAGTCCAAGTCCGAGTCCAAGTCCGAGCTTGAGCGCGGGCCACTCTGGGCCCATGCTCAAACTCCTGGCCACAGCAGGATATGTTGACGAAGATTATCCCCTCAAAACCAACTTCACCGACACTCTCAGCACTTTGTTGAACACCGTGTGCCATCCTGCGCGCTTCCGCACCGAGCCCGGTGAAGCCGTGGAGCGCATAAATAAATTCGTGGAGGATTCCACTTCCGGCACCATTCGCGATATCCTGGCTCCTGCGGATATAACGCCCGTTACCGTGTTTATATTGATCAGCGCGGTGTATTTCCAAGCGGAATGGAATTGTGTATTTCCCGAGCGGGACACCGTCAAGAAGCCCTTCACCCTGGCCGACGGCCGCACCGTGATGGTGGACACCATGCACGTGCTGACGAAGTGCCAGTATTATGAAAGTAAGGAATTAGGCGGAGCGCGATTCCTGCAGTTGTGGTACGGCGACCAGCGCTCCAGCGCTTGCTTCATTCTGCCGGGAAAGAACGACGGATCTCCCACGTGGACACCGGGTTCCGCATTGTCGGGTCTCCAGCAGGCCTTGACGCCGAAGATGCTGGAAAAGGCGCTGGACTCGCTGCAGCCCATCACGTACGGCACAATTCAGTTACCCAAGTTCTCCATAGAGCAGAGCATCGACCTGGAGAGCACGCTGCAGGATCTGGGGATGCGGTCGGCTTTCACAACCACGGCCGACTTCTCCGGCATAACGTCGGTACCCATCTGCATAGACAAGATTAAGCAACAGGTGTACATTGGTAAGCATGATACCACCAATAAAAAGTGGTCAGCCTGTCGCCAGTAATACAACTGGGCTAACTTATAAACAAAAAATCGACGCGCGACTTTACGCCGAAAGACATTTCACATAGAGACGGTGGGAGAGCTTGCTTTGAGACATTTTACCTTTGCGACCTTTTCACGCATGACATATGCTTGCAAACATGTTGTCTTGAGACTTCTGTCGCTTTCTAAGATCAAGTCGCGAGTAGATTAATTCGACGCACTTTTCTCTTTTCACAGGTTTTTTTAATTTTCCTGGATTTTCCTTGTTTTTCTTAGGTTGTCTTTGGGTTTCTTATCTCGTGTTAGGTTTTCCTGACTTTGTCACATTCTTAAGTTTTCTTAGGTTATTTTTTGGTGTTCCTCGAAATTTTTTTTGACTGTTATTCTTTGAGGACAAAAATTAATCGCTGTAACAGCTAACAAGTATTATCAAATAGCGTATGAAAAATTCCTAGGATTTTGTGCTACGATAAATCGATCGTACCGCTGCAAGTTCATTCTTGCACGTGAATGCACCCTAGGACACAAATTCAGCACTAAAACTTTAGATTGATATTTACAGGATACAGTGAAGCCCCTCGTAACGTACGCCCTTATATGGCATTCACCCCATCATTATGTGCATGCGGCTAAGAACCGGACTGTTCGGTTGTGCTGACTATAACACCACGGCAGTTCTCTGTGCAACGTTTACCCCTATAACGTACATCTGTCTTATAACGTAATGGGAGTACTAACGTTATTAACAGTGCATTTAACCTAGGGATGGCAGCGGCTGGCGGCTACACCCCTGTGGGCTGTGTGGCGTTCAGAAAGTCAGGAACGGCGGTTGTACGCAGTAGAGATGCTTCATTTTATATCTATAGGCATTAGGCGTAAAAAAAAATACAACCTTTATTGCGATTCTTCCCTGTCCAGGCGTGCATGCCTGACCATTACTTACATACCGAATATCCTATAGTCACACAAAAGGACAGGACAGTACATTTTGTCTTATATTCATGATCCCATTACATATACCTTTTTCTTTACTTTACTTACAGCGTTTAGTCTCCCGGCATTAAAACCCAAAACCTCCGATGCCTAATTTAATTTAATTTCAAGTTTATTTAAAAATTTTCAGAAATTTTTTTAAAAGAATGAAATGGAGTAAAAGGGAAAGCATGGAGAGACTAAACTTTAAAAAAAAAAATTGTCCTGTTCTTTTTGCGACTGTACATAATACTACATAACTTAATTTCTATATCGCAATAAGGTAAATAGTAGACCCCGCGCAAACTGCGCGGAATAAATCGGCGATAAATTTTTATTTAGCAAAACTACAAAGTACAAACCCATGACTGCAAATTTAGCTTTATTGAGCGGAGCGTATAAGAATATTAATAATAATATAGTTTGATTAGTTTCATTGGCAGAGACAAACGGTATTTGCCCAATACCTGTTTGGTTATGCTTATCATAAAATGTCGTAAATTATTCTTTATTTTGGGCTTTTGGCCATAGTTCACTGACAGATTGGTAGCAGTTAGAAAGTATCACAGTTTAATAATTAAATGTTTAAGGCCGTTTTGAGATTACATTGTCGCGTTCCGCTGACTTCGGATTTAACCTTAACTTAGACCCGAAAAATTTGAAAATTTCCAGGAATATGTCCTTTTTGGTTGCAATTATAAAACAAAGTTTTTAAGCTTCTCGCAAATCAATCAGCAGCATATGCCGGTCAGTTGTCAAGAACTACAAATAAAAAAAGCTCCATAATTACTGAAATTTTGTAGCCGTATTGCCGTACTTCTACTGGTTCAGATACCATTCGGAGCTTCGCTAAATTTTAGTCAGTGCGTCCCGACAAAACAATCCAGTGATACGACCACCGATGTCAACCTTTAGACCACTTAGAATAAAAATATTTTCCAGTTTCCTCCAACTGTTTACACACAAACAATTTAAACCTGATGAAGACTTCAAAATTTCGTTGTGTTCTTTGGTGAATTTTTTATTAATTAACGTCGACAACTTAAGCGCAGTGCAGTGTCTTGCTTGCGACCCCCGCTGCAGATAGGCGCCGCCTATGATTCCGCTTTCTGTTACGTGCTTATAAAATTTTTGTTTCAAGTTCGGCAAAAATCTATGCATTCGTATAGTACATCCCCAACGCATTGTCGCATCCCCAACCCCAACCCATCCCCAACCCAACCCATGAAACGCCCACAACATCCCCAACCCATTAAACGCATTGTCGCTTCACGCTTACGTCCTCACAGATGGTTCATTAATGTAGCTTGTCGCACCCAGGCGCACCGGGGAGGGTCGTCCCTTAATTTTTTTGTTTTGACCTTTGATGGGAGATGATCTGACGGATTGCTTTATAGCTGGGGGAAAGATAGATTTGAATGCTGATAAGCTTCGCTTTTTAAATCTTCTGTTTATTTTAAATTTTTGAATGCTAAAAATGCGGTTTTTGTTTTCATAAAACCGTTTTTGTCTACGTTCCTTAGCGGAAAAATATCCTTTCTGAAAAATATTTTAACCTTCCCTCCCTCCCCCTGCGGGAGGCTCGCGCGCTCCTCATTTAGTCGCCGTGAAAAGATTTGCCTTGGGCCGCTCTCTCCCTCCGGGTGGCGGTTAGACTTGAATCCTAGTGCGTACGCCAGGTGGGACTGGGACTCGCTGTTTTGCTCGAGTAGTCCACATCATTTCCAGTCGAACACCAAAATTCTCAGAAACGACTTTCAGTCTCTCACAAAATAATGTTTATTTGCGATTTGAAAAAAATGGTAAAGTATTCCACTTTATTGGCACGTCAGCAGCACGATATTACAAAAGCCAACCGCCCTTTGGAAACAGTTTCAATAACACATCTAATCAACCCGTTGCGAAAGGCAACTACTTTATCTTTGGAATTTGGGTCGCTCCCACTTTTCAGGAGATTTTGCATGTTCAGTCTTTAAGAAACATCACTTTCAGAGCCAGCATATTTTAAAAACTAACTCTTAATAAAAATCTTATGAAATAAAGGCAGTCCGATAACTAATGGACACCAAAGTTCCATCAAGTGTAGATGTCTTTTCCTGTGCTGTTCGTGACAGTGGTGGCTTGGGTGGGTTTGCAGTGGTGGGTTCTGCACTTTTCCCGTAGACTTTGTATATTAAGTTCTTTTATGATTTTCTCTCAAACTTCACATACTTTCAAAAAACCGACTGGTTTCTGCAAATCTGCAAACTCGCGGCTATTGAATGACATATAGACATCAAAGTTTCGTTTAGTGGTTCGCTCAAAAAAGGGTGACAGAAATGGAATTCTCTAAGGCTAATTCTCTATATAGGATTGTAACGGAACATTCTCTCACAACAACCATCATCGGAGACACGAAGTCGAGGACAATTAACAGCATCATTGACGATCGTGCTGAGATCGACCGGCAAGCAAGAACGACTACCGTGCATTAACAGTGAACAAGTTGTTCGGGCGCGGTACACTCCACTCTTTATTTGATTTATTCAGGAAAATAACATAAGAACAGGTTAGAGAAATCACTTTTAAACTATTAAATAGCTGCTTCATCTGGTACACTTTGGCAGTTTGCCGGATGGTGGTGGCAATTCTGTCGATGCCTGTCACAGCAGTACGGGCAACCATTCCCCTTGAACCGATGGCTAAATGGTAGTAGTCGGTCTGCCATCCGGCACTGGTTAGCTGCTCTACCAGAGGGGCGTAACGGCACCGCTTCCTGGACTCCGCGTTGGCAAATCCGTGCACGGTTTCAAAGGGAATGGTAACCTCCGCTAAAATAATACGCTTCTCTCCGCGGTTAACACAGCATAGATCAGGGCACAGAGAGGTAGGAAGCACATCAAGAGGGATAGTGTTATTGTGACTTTCGTAGTTCTCAGAATTTAGGTCAGACAAAATTTCCCACTTATTTTGATCAGCCACACCGGTCAAGAAACGAAAGATAGCTTGAACAATGCTATTATGGCGCCAGGTGTACCGATGGCTGTTAAGAGACACCGAACAACTATTAAGGATGTGACAGAGGGATCCTTTATCGGCCCCACACAAATCACAGTTGGCCGAAACGATTTTTCCCCATTTAAGTAAGTTGGTGAAAGAAGGAGAGATATTGAGAGCCGATTCGATCATAAAAGTCACAACATTCTCAGACAGATCGTACAGCACTGATTTCCATGGCGCATCTACAATCTCGGGTTTAACAATCTCTTGCCACGCTCCCTGCTGTATCAAGCCCTCGATCCGATTTTCTCTCGACGCCGATACATGCTGCTTTACTTTTCTATTAACAAGCTTTCTAATTGCTGACTTGTTTGCCCCCCCTTGCCTGCCGCTTTCGATAGAAGTTTGCACAATGTCCACAATAGCATCATTATCAGAACACGCCGACATTAAGTTATCACTCGCAATCTGTGCCACAACAGCATCATTAGAGCACAACGCGTCCGTTACAAAGGTAGCGTGTGATTGCGCGTACACTGATTTCACAGACTTGATATTCATCCCCCCCGGTACATAAAAGAAATCACAGTTAGCGGATACATTAATATTTAGCCATTTTTTTATGTATTTATTAACAAGCGCTTCTAGTGAGTTAACAACTGCTGGAGACAGATCATGCATTGTTAACACAAATCTCATACAAGCCACAACGTACTCATCGTAAATTTTCATTTTATACACGGCACGTAATTTCAGATGATCTACTCGTTGCATTAAAGATTCCAGACTCGTATATACCAAATTTCCACTGTTGACAGACTGATTTTTATTAAACACATGTACACCAAGAAATTTCATCGGATCACTCGATATATCCGGAATTCTTACGCCATTAATTTCAAACGCCGTTTCGCATGAAATACCTCTTGAAAGAGAAAAACAACGGCACTTGTCGGCATTTAGAACCAGGCCAATAGAATTCATACACACATTCACTTCACGGATTAATCGGCCCATGCTGGCTTTATTATTGCAAATAAGCGTTAAATCGTCTGCAAAAGCCATACT